TAATCCTCATCAGCTCTGGCACGTAGGCTTGTCGAATTTTCAATTACTGCGAGAATTTCCAACACATTGTGTCTTTCGAAGCAGGTTTGAAGTACTACGGCACTTGAGCAGTGGGTGATTTTTCCTGAGAGAGGTAGTGGACCGTGCACAGTCCATCTCAGTTTAGTGTGCACAGCCTTTAGATCTTGCCATTTGCTTCACATGCTTCTCACCTCCCCAGTCCCAAAATGCCAGCAGCAGTCAGAACCCACGAATAATGAAACGGAGTTCCCATTGTTTCCTTTTAGACGAAGGGTTGGCCTGTACGATCCAGTTTGCTCCATTTTCTACGTAAATTTTTTGCCGGGAATTGGATTGTGCTCTCCGCAAATAGCCTCCACTTCCAAAGCTTCAATTTTTATGGCTTTGCCCGTCTTTGCTGGGAAAAGGAGTATACGTACTCTTCTAATCGTTTTCCCCATCCTGTGACTGCCTAATACTCCAATGGTGACCGTTTCTTTTTGCAACATTTGACAGTCCAAACGTCGAGATACTTTCATGGTGATGAAGCTCCGCTTACTTCCTTCGTCGAAGAGTACCCTGTAGTTCTTTGACGACATGTCCAGCTATTCTGGTCTTTAATGTTGTATTGCAGGGCTCGCTTGTTTGGAGTGAAGGGTGACTGTTGTCGTAGGTGTGTAAATTACACTTTTCTAGAAGTCTGGATCACACATGGAGGTAACATGACGTCAGGAGCATCCATCGCATTTCTTTCTTTTTCTGCGGTCTCTTGCCATGTGACCTTAGACATTCATACCATCGCCCTGCTTTGGTGAGAATCATCTTCTTGTCTGCCAAACTCGCTTCGTTTTCGTAGACTTCAGTGTGATGCTTCGAAGACTTGCAAAACACGCATGGATCAGGTTTCCCTAGAACACTTTGTCGTGATGCTGCTGCTGATGACAAGATATGACGTCTTCCTCATTGTGACATCTCTGCAGCTTTCTGATCGACCACTGGCCTTTCCGGTTGCGTATATAACGCCAGAGTTTCTCTGCAGTGAAGCTGATGTTTGAGAAAGCCCTGAAGATCCTGCAGCTCTTTCTCACTTTTGGTCGTTCTGCCTTGTGGGTCTCTTTATGCTTGCATCGTGGATGGCGCGGTGATCGTTGTTGTTGACGATCACCGCGCCATCTCCTGCAGCATTGAGCAGTAGGTAGAGGGGCTGGTACCAAGCGCTCTCAGACTCCTCACATGAACTTGTACATCGCTGTGCAGTTCTTTAAGTTCATTTCTGCTTGAAGACGAGAAAACTGGCCAGAGATCTAACAGGCTTCGAAGATGTTGCTGTGCGATAGTCTTCTCAAGCGTCTCTTGAGGATGTTCACTGTATCTTCATAGCACTCTGCCAGTGCTTGAAGTCCGGATATGGCTGAAGCGGCAAGTCCAGTGACAAGAGTGCTCAAGTAATTAAACTTGTCGGCAGCACTGAGGTTGTCATTGTTGTGCACTGTCGTCAAGAACTGCATCCAAAATTGATGCCACTGCTGTCAGCTGCCATCGAATTTTTGTAGTTCTAGTTGCGGCAGTCGCAATGGGACACCAACGAAAACTTTTGTTATCGGGCGCAAGACTTGGGACGTGTGTTCATTCTGAATAGCAAAGTGAAGCTTTGCTATTCAGAACAAACAGCGTGACAGAACGTCACCGTGACAATCTTGTCCCCGTAACTGCTCGCGTCTATCATTTCTGTCTCAATCAGCTCATCGGGTGTCTCATCTAGGATTCTGTCATCGATCTTTATTCACTGATCGTACATCGCCTAATTCAGTCGATTAAAATGCTGACCTGTGACGATGACAGCTCTTGTTTAAGTAGGAGGCCTTTCGCTTCTTGTACGATGGCATCCAGTTGCTAGCAAAGGCACTTGTGTCGTTGGAGTAGCCATGGCATGGTTCTTTGGGCAGCCGAGAACTCTTCGCCAAAGGCTCAGGGGTCATCGCACAACACCTTGAACTGTGAGGTTGGCGTTATTCCGTAGATCCCATGAGATTTTGGCACCATGTGGTGGACCTGGAGGTCCACCAGCTACCAGGCTGTCGTGCAGGAACGAGAGACGGCCCACCCGAAAGGAACACTCTTTTAGAAAACAAGGAAAAGGAACTGATGGCTTCGTGCCCTCGAGCAAGCGGCAGCTCGTGAGGAGCACTGATGGTGATGATGAATGTCGTCTGCTAGGCTGATGAAGACGAACTTCCGATGGCGATCATCTTCTATTGTACATGTTTTTCACGTGAGGGTTCGTGGCATTGCCTTTGTTTTGTTGGTATCGGGCAGCTCTGCCTGCCCATTTGTCACATGGCTGTTTTCTCACTTTTGGATTGTTAGTAGTTGTAAGTTCATGATCGGCTTTGAAAGCAGCATGAAAGGAATGCAGTGACTGTCAAAAATGGGATGCGAGGGACCTATGGGATGGAGTCACTGAATATTACTTGTTCATGCATCCCTATCGTTTGAACACTACGCACATTGCGATGATGAAGTATGCTTGTTGAATGAGCTGACGACCGATAAGATGCTTACCGTTTGTCATGATAAGGAAACAATGACTAGGATGACTAGGGGGAAAGCACTGCTGAAGTAGCTCGAAAGAATGAACGTTAAAAAGCGGTACCTAACACGGAAGCTTCAAAGTGCTTAAGAAGAATGCACACTCTTAAAAGTACGTTGTGCTGCAGTCGAGCTGCATCCATCAGGCAAAGATGGCGCTCTCCTCAAATAAACGTTCTCTAGCTTAATCCGTAATATTTCGTGTTTGTTTTTTGGCGCTTATTAGAGCATAATGGGATCGCAGATATATGCCCAGAAAAAGTAATGGACTCGCATGCTTGCATTTCAAGATTTTTCGTGCACAAATTTTTAATATTTTCACTACAACTTTTTAAGATAACAAATTATCTTTAGCAGTTCCTTGAGATTTGTTGTATCGAGATTTCACTGTATATAGGCACCCATAATTACTGTGTCCCACCATTTGCTCTTCAGCACAACCATTGCCCCATTGTGTGACTGAACAATGAGTGTCATTCATGTAAAATTTGGCAAATTGGTTTTTCAATCATTGATAGACATCAGCACTTTCTTTTTTCTTTTAAAGACAGGTCTGTGAGGAGGGTACAACAACATCTCGCCACTTAAATTTTCAGAATAGTTCTTCAGCATTATGTGCCACCACTTAGAACACTCTCACTTGGCCCACTTCCAAAATTTACTTTGCCCAATTCGAGCACGTCCAAGTTATCACGTTATCTGATATGAAGGACTAGCTGTAAACCTTAAACGTGAAAGAAGGGAAGGCATGCAAACTGAAGCAGGATGAGAGAACTAGTGAACACCGATGACTTTCTGTTATTCTAAGAAGCTTTTGTTGCAAGGTCACATAACCAAAGATAACGTTAGGCAATATAATCTGACATTTACTGGGGCCTATCAAAAGTTCTCAGGCCGCGCTACCATAGAAATACACAAGATAGTGGCTTTGGAGCTTTTAATAGACCCTGTATTTGAAACTAAAACAAGTGTAGGTATAGGCGATTCACACATACACACCAAGTCTCTGTAGCTTCTTTGGTGCATGGTGATACATGCTATACTCTGTTCCAGAAGTTCCAGGCAGCACTGTGGAAGCTACAGGCCTTCTCAACCAATCAGGAGGGCAAGCACATCTAAGTGTATCCTTCCGCGCCCTGTCGTCTGCTAGCGACGTGCGCTGCAGCAAAAGCGGCAAAAGCGTCTCGGGACACTGTGCAACTGCGCAGGGAGATGAGCTGTAATTGTCAAAGCGTTTAAATATTCTCCTCGGCACCGTAAAAGCACTCGTCTTCGAGATACTTGCACATAGACATTTGAGGGATAGGGTTCAGTGGCTCATGTTTTGGTGGAAAGCGCCCCACTAGCCAAATTGAATATGAAAGCTCCACGCTTCATCAGATTTCGCATACGCATGCCTATGGGCATGTGAAGTGCCGCTCGCGTTCGATACAAAATGATGGCTCTATTCCCGGTGCTTATCGTGCCTCGCCGTGCGTATCATGCTCTGCTGCCCACTTGTACAGTGCATGCTCGCTGACGTTGGTGAATGCAGCCGTTCTTTTAATGAGAGAGCTCATGCTTACATTTCTGCCGCCCTCCTTACGCAGTGTCCCAAACACATTTAGAGCCAAGTGCTTCGCTCCCTTGTCGTAAAAACTGATCCGGGAACGATATCGCACAGGTGAATTAGGCGCTGCCATTTTGACAGGAGTGACAAAATCTGCCACTGCGGACTAATCACAACCCAAGACTGGGTCCTCTGTGTGCTGTGGACGCTCAGGCTGTGCAGACTACTCATAAAAGTTTAGACAGTGTCTACCATTCCTTCGTACTTTATAAGTAAAAACATAACAAATATGAGCCACAACAGCGTTATTTATTTCGTCATTTGCATGTTATAACACGTACAAGCAAGAACTCTTTCTTCAGTATTATGGAGCCACAAAAATTGTTTTCTACAGAAAATGCAACAAAATCGTCATACAAATCCCAGCTACAACACACACAGAAGCCTTCAAGTAAAAATCTCCCGATGAGAGCGCTTGCAAAAGTCATGAGGACAAACAACGGGCTACGTATATGGGGCATTGCATCTCGCTTCGCAACAACCTGTGTTCGAGGGTCGTGTAGCCTTGACTCTGCTGCACAGAACTTCTGGAACAGAGTATAGAAAATTATCATCACTGTGACACATGTTTAAGGTTTACCTTGCTAGTGTCGACGGAGGCTGCTGTGTTACCTAGGCAAATCAGATATGCATAGTGTGCATAATGAGCTGAAACTAGATGGGGGTAATGGGAAAAGGAAAAGGTGTTTTTTTTTTGTGATCTCTGTTCATTTGAGGGTGTGCTAAATTAGTTTGCTTGGTTGGTTTACTTTTGTGGATTTCATTTATATCTTATATGTCACGTGCCGGTGTCCTTTTGCAGGAAAGGTCACATTCAGACCATGGCCAACCGAATAATTTCAATGCGAAAAGCCCTTCAAGATAAGCTACATGAACTAGGAACACCAGGAAGCTGGGAGCACATCACTAAACAGATTGGCATGTTCTCGTACACTGGTCTAAACCGTAAGTATAAACGTCTGAACAATCATTTGTAGGGAGAGTGCAGCAAGAATTGCTGGCTTGTTTCGGTCTACCACGCAAAAAAATTTTTTCAATTGTGGTGACAACAATCATCTATTTGTCCAGTAAAAAAGGGAATTATATTTTCAATTTAGCTCTGAAAGTCATGGAAGTATGACCATGAGCATTGCCCAACAGGTTCAGTCTATTGGCAGGAACAAAAAACTCGCACATAGGTTTATTTTGCTTGAAAACAAACAGATAAGTGCACGCTGGCGAGTAATTTTAGCTTTTTTTTCATCACGTGTTCAAAGAAGCACCTCCTGGCACTGCCAGTGATGCGTTTGCCTGTCTGCCTATGGGGTTGAAGCGCGAGTCATGTGAGCATGGGGTCTGTGTAAATTCCATGTAACTTATGAAACACAAAATGCCGAAACATTACTGAAAAACTACAGGGATCTTCTGTTCTTCTGTCAAGCACATTTCATGTTCGTTTAGTTGCATGTTTGACATGAGTGGAACCACTACAGTCTGTTTCACAATACCGGCATGCCAGTGTTGCGGGAACGCACCTTTTTTTTTTTCCTCGACTGGTGTGGTTTTCCAGGCTTGCTAAGAGATTAGGGTTATAATACTTTATTTGACAATTTGCCACCTCTAAACAATCATTACAGTAATTGTTTTCTTATTTAAGAAAGCCTAATGAGGCCTAAAAAAACTGCATGTGGTTCCAGTTCACGACTTTCACGGGCAGAACAATTGTCATTGCATGCAGTAGCCAGTGTTGTGGGCGTCCCCTCACCAATTGATGATGACAAAACATAGGTTAAAAAATTTAGAGGTTTCTTCTCGCTTTCCAGAGAAGCCGCTGCAAGATTGGACACCTCAGACAATGCTGTTTATTGCAACATAAAACAGAAAAGTGATGTCAGTTCTTTTGAAGGAGTGTGAGGGCCAGCCACAACCCAGCTAGCACAAAAGCTATATAGACGGTTTGAAAAGACATTTGAGTGATGGTATTCGCAATGATTCATAGCTAAGCTTGTAGCACATCATTGATGTAGATTTTCAAGGGAAGACAGAATATTGAAAAGGTAAAAAATCACTACAACATGAAGTGCCGCTGTTTTGACAAGTCTTCAAGGCTGGAGCTGCCTACCTGAGAGTTTGCATGTGCATGTTTTTCAGCCTCTCCTCCAATCCAGGCAAGAAAGGAAAAAAGGGCAAATGCACAGACGGGGGAGAGGCAACACGCTGACCCTTCCTTTTGCTTCTCCCCCGTCTGCACACTGATTTGGTGACCCTTTTGAAGGCTAATAGAGGCATTTGCTTGTACTAAGTGCACTATTGATAAGTTCTTGAAGCTTCGTGCATACTTGATACCAGTGCTTGACCACCTCCTGGCATTGATGTCAGGTGAGAAGGTTGTTACCAGACTAAATGCGGCCTAGGCATACCAACAGTTGCATTTGGCTGACAAGGAGCCAGAGACATAAACGATAGTTACTCACTAGGGGGAACATTTTGCGTCCCCAAACTGCAGTTCTGTTTTCAAGATCACACCAGGTCCCTTGCAAAATCCATGAAAACCTTGTAATTTGCTGGCACCAGGCCATCAGCTACCTCACCACCTCTGTGTCTGTGATGTTCTTGGGTGGCTTTAGGAAAAACTGGGCTGAGGGTCAGTGAGGGAAAGTGTCAGCTTGGTGTGATTTGCATGGACATCCTAGAGTTTATCATCATTGCTGAGGGTGTCCACTAGACTTCTGTCTAGATGCAAGCAGTCATGAATGCACTGAACGCCACGAACAAAGCAGAACTGCAGGCTTTCTTTGGTTTTGCCTACTTCTATGATGCGTTCTTCCTGTATAAGTCTACGGTAGCTGCTGAACAAGCATACAACATGTGCATAGAGCGGTGTACACCAAAGCATATTCAAAGGCGTTGAACTTCTGGCAATTTCTTTTAGGAGTGTAATGGAGACAAACTTACTGTGCAGACTGGGTTCATACAGTGTTTTATATACATTTAAACCTCGATATAATGAAGTTTGTAAAAACGGCAATTTATCAAGTTAAATTGAAACTTTGTGAAATGGCAATTTGACCCTTCAAGCAAAGTATAGTCACCAAAGACCTCTTTTTTGCATTGTGAATGCCCATTGTAAATGCATTGTAAATCATTGAATAATATGGCAGCACAAAGAACCATTAATGTGAAAAAAAATCTTTTTCTATAATTTGAGATTCGGCGATTGTAGCTTGATGCTGCGCTGGTAAAATCCTCTTCACAGTAGCCAAATGTCACGCATGAAACCGAAAGTATCGCATGTTCAACACATCGTGGTAATATGGCATAAGCGAAGCTATTGTGGCTGTGCTACTGCTGCAGTTTGCCATCAAAACCTCAAGTGTGTTGCCCGAAGTAGGGGGAGGCCGGTGCTATCATGTTTGTCAAACCGAACTATTAGCTCTACACTTGCTTCAACGAACTTGCTATGTCACAAACAGTTGCACGCCGCAAAAGCAAAAAGTCTGCAGTTTAAAAACTTTATAAAGGGAAGGTGACATACCTAACTGCAGCACATACTACTCCTATTTATTATTTATGGTGCCGATTCTTCCAGTTTTGCGACACCCCCTCCCCCCTTTGAAGTACTTGACATTGTTTTGGATATCTATTTTGTTTAGTTGTTTCATCATTTATTGTGTCGTGGATGCTGAATTGCATAGTTTGCCATTTCTATCCATCTCTCGTTACAGAACAGCAAGTGCAGCACCTTGTGCAAGTGTATCATGTGTACCTGCCAAAAGATGGTCGTATTAGTATTTGTGGTCTGAACTCTGGCAATGTGGAGTATGTTGCCAAAGCCATCCATGATGCAGTCACAAAGTTTCCCCAAAGCTAATCCACTGGTCATCATGTTATCAAGGAATTGGACGAAGGTTGTAGGTGTACACTACCAAGCACTGGTTGTGTATAGTTTTTAGTCTTTAATTATCATTTTTAGCACATGGTTGTTATTCGATATTCAAGTTCATATCTTAAATAGAGTTTATTCTTTGAAGATCAGTTTTGTTGTCACTGTTTTGAAATAGATCTGATGCTGCTAAGTGCAAAGCAGTTGTAGGCAGGAAATGGTTGTAAAGAAAAACACGTCTAGTTTTTTGTGCACTGATCATATGTGGTGCACAAGAAAGTGTTTGTTTGTGTCTGAGATAGTGAATGTTATACACTAGGCATAGTAGTTTTTTTAGTGTTTTTTGAAACGGGCTTTCCAACAATCTCTTTTATTGACTTCTGCTCATGCTTTTATTTCATTCTACCACAACAGCAGAACTGAGTGGCTAGATCTGTATTTGTTGACATGAGATGGATTTGGTCATATTATTAATAAATTTACTTAAAGTTGTAATGCCTTTGTTCTTCTTTCACATCACAAAATATGTGTTAGCATCGCTTAATATTAGACTAGTTAATTTATGGCCAACAAGCAATTGCACCAGAAGCAAAAGTTGGGCTAGTTGGTGGTTCATTCTTGGGATGTAAAAACAGTGCAAAAATAGAGACAAAGACTGAAGAAAATAGTTGCGTTCTTGTCTCTATTTTTGCACCGTTTTTAGATCCCTAGAAAGCAACAGCACTTTAGAAACAAAAAAATGCTACTGCAATATGTTATCGGTCCAAGCTTCTTTCTTACATTAGCTTTTTAAGCACAACATTTTGCCTTTTTTTACAAAATGCATACTCTAAGAGCACAGATAACGTAAACATGTCGGTCTTTTATTTTGCAGTCATAATCATCAAGTTGTCGTAAGCATTAAATGATTCTTTCGATATAACCTTGGACCATTGCCCGGGCTTGATGAAAAAGCACATTAGGAGCTGTGAACATATCTGCCAAACCTTGTAATGACGTGTGACATGTGGAGTTTACAGACAGAGTGCTAAATGGAAATGGCCTTATTTTAAACGGAGTAATCAGGTGACCGCCAGTAGCCCTTCCCTTGCAACAGTGCGCAGGTTCCAGTGGAGCGGCTTCCACTGACTGATAGACTCCAGGCAGGATGTTTTGCTTTTTCCTACTGTAACAATGCATATTAATTGATGCACTTAACTAAACAGGCTGTAGTATTTGATGGCTGTGTCTTATATTTTAATAGGAGTTGCATGTTTCTGAGAGAAACTAACTGTCACATTCACTCACCTTTTATAAGTAAAAGCCATCACGTAGGTGAGGTAGTGGCTCCTTCAAAACAGTGGAGTTATTATTATTATTATTATTATTATTATTATTATTATTATTATTATTATTATTATTATTATTATTATTATTATTGGAAGTACTCTACTATAGTTCTAAATTATTTGGAGATTGCACAAAAAGGTAGATGAGGACTCCGTTAATTGGAGAGAGTGGTGATTTGGGCGGGTTGGAATTCAGTCATATATCGCTTATCACACTTGGAACATTAGAAAAAAGAGATCGCAAGGATATGCCGCACATTTTTTTCTAAATGAAATGTACAAGACAGCTGCACTCATATACACATAGAAAACCAAGGGAAGAAAAAAAACTTGTAAGAACATGAGGAAACACTCAAAACGTCAAACTGTTGGGTTGACAAAGCCAAAATAGTTGACGTTACTCAGGTGAACTTTGGCCCCTGACAAAGTTTATCTGACACCAGAAATCAAATTTTTCCTGAGAGGTGCTGCAAAGGCAAGCTAACATATGCATTATGCAACTGCATGATCTCCTTTATTTCACTGATAACTGCATAAACAAGGACCATAGAGAGAGAGAAGAAAAGGCAGGGAGGTTAACGAGGCTTAACCCGGTTCGCTACGCTACACAGTGGAAGGGAGAAAGGAGAGGAAAAGAATAGAGCAGGGAAAATAGGTAAAGTAATGCACTGGCATGCAGAGGAGCATGTAGTGCGCATGCCCACAAGGTCATGAAACTGTGAACTGTCACAGAATACAGCTGGATTTTGACTGGCTTATACGAAGTACACTACAATCCAGGATTCTCAACAAGGCTTGTAAGGGCCACAGTATTTCCAAGGCTTGCATACAAATGCCAAGATGCCCCAGAACTGGTGTATGTACATTGTAATAAAGTTGATTCTAATAAAACGTGATGACCCATTCCCATTAAGCACCTTTACGTTACCCGCGCACTGTACAAGAGCTGCAGCGAATCACTGTTTTAATTTACCAGTAGCCAGAAATGCCTACGGTCGAAGGCTCATAGAATTTCACGGCACTCTCATATGGAATGCGATACCGACTGATGTGAAAGAGGCTAGAAATTTTCCATTGGCCATGAAGCATGCACTTCATGCGAACTTTCTAAATAATACGTCGGTATAGTCATTTAGTATTTTTATTATTATTATTATGATTAGTATTATTCTAGTGCTATTATTATTCTGTACTATAAGTAGCTATGTTCTGCGCTATGTTTCTTTGTATAGTTCAATCATATGTTTTTTGCTTTTTTCTGTTTTAAACATTGTATCCAGGTTGATGTCCTTTGTCGCTGTGTAACCGCTTGCGCAAGTATGTAGATATGTCACACAATTGGTCCCTCTACTAGCCAGTTAGGCTATGGGACCAAACAAGTGTTTGCGAAGTTTTTTTGTTACATGGATGTAAAAGTTACAATAAAAAAAAATATGGTGGGCCCCATGGGTTTTTATAGGCAGTTTTACAATAGTTGTTTGGAGATTTTAGGCTACTGCCACATTTGATACACTTGGCCCTTCCAGCAGCAGCGCCTCCTGTACTTAAAGGTGGTCGCACGGTTAGTGATATTGTAAGACAGTAGCAGGGTTGGAGTCTCGACGGCGTTTATTAGGCCGAATCGCCTGATCAACCCTTCGAACGAAGACGACGTTTTTCGTGATGATGATTATATACAGATGAAGAAGATGAAGGTCAAAATTTGTCAATATTGTGCTTACAATATACATATAGGTATGACTGAAGATGCACATAAAAGCTTATTGTTTACGCTCTGCTTATTCTTCAGTCTAAGTGTAGGAATTGGGTTGGGAGGTGGTGATGAACAATAAACACAATTTGTTAAACTACATGCGCCATGTGGGCTGTCACAGCAAGCACAGCTGATATGCCCACAAAGCAAATTGAACGATGGGTAATACGATGCTCAACTAATTATGGGCTTTTGGACGAGTATGGGAATTGCACTCTCTGATGCTTTGGTTTCGGTTTCGCCGTGGCCACTTATGGAAATCTGAAAGCAGTTACCAGTGGCCACTTTTTCAAAATCTGAAAGTAGCAATTTTTCACAGGAAAATTTCAGTTCTTTCGTTTGACTAGACTGCCTGTCTCCTCCTATCAATAAGTTTCCTAATTGATACTAAAGAAGTTGCTGAAAAAACGTGTGTAATATCCACGGTGAAATATATATATATATATATATATATATATATATATATATATATATATATATATATATATATATATATATATATATATCGTATTTTCCTTACTTTTGAACGACATAGTCAGTGACGAGCTAGGGTGTTCGACCCCCCCTCCGCTTTCGCCCAACTTTCCAGAAAGAAATACTTGGTATCCCAAACCCAGTTCTCTTTCCTGTTTCTTATCGTGATCTATATTTGACTGACAAATGCAAGGTTCGCAATGCTAGAGCACCACTAGCCCACATAAAATAGGAGTGCTCGAGTTTAGATGCCCTAATACAGAAAAACCAAGAGGAGGCTGTGTCGAACCGCAGGGCGTGCTGAGAAAAGGCTCTTCTTAGCTCCGCATTAGAAGAGCAGCTGTGGGCCCTCCAGCGAGCCAAGAAAGCTGCCCGAGCCCAAGGGTTCGTGGCCGATGCCTAGGCCGGGGTTGAGGCCTACCCAAGATCAACTTCACTGGACAATTATTAATAAAGTTCTCTCTCTCCACGCCCCTTTCGGACACTTTTTTCTTGAAAGACCTGCATAGGTTGAGCAAACGCGCTGCTTGCAACTCTGAAATAGCAGGCTCGATTACAGTCATAATGCAAAAAAAGGCACGTAGGTTAGGTGTGATTGTTGTGCGACAAGAATGGTGCATGCCTTTATTTTTAGGCACCCTCATCCACCACAAAACTTCTGCATACGATTTCCTAATGCGTTTTGCACCAATATATGTCACGCCCTAAATGCAGGGCCGGCTGAAAACTCAGTGTGGCATAGCTGCTATATAATGATCTGCAGTGGTTTACCTATTTAATACTTTATAGCAATGTGAACACAAATCAAAACCTAGTAAAGAAAGAAAACCATTGGCGCATATTGGGAATTCCACTTGGTCTCAGTTGGCCCCAGTTGGTGTGACTGATTATCCAATGGGTTTGAATAAGACAGTGTGAAATGTCCAATTCGAAGGCTAACTCATTGACTCTGTTACAGTTCGTTTTCCAACACAGTATAAAAATAGTGATTTGGTCCAACTGGTCATACCAATAGAACCTTAAGTGCACTTCAATGAGATAGCCCAATTGAAATGGACAGCACCAAATAGTGACGAGAATTAGTGTGAATTTCCTATTTGGCCACCCTACTTGAATTTGGGATAATCCAAATGATTGTGCCATTAAAACTGAGGTCAACCAGTAATGGAACATTGCTCTTCCAATGGGAATGCTTGGATATCGTTATGCGATTCCACATGGTATTAAGCATTCAATTTGACATTGTCATACAGGACTACTTGGTGATTGTTGTTGGTTCAGTTTGTACTCCAGGTTGGCCTCATTCATCAATATTAATTACATTTCATATCTAATAATAGTGTGCGGCGATGGCGTAGTGGTTAGCCCATCCGCCTCGCATGCAAAAGGCCTGTGGTTCAAATCCCGGTGCCTCGCAGTTCCCAACCGGATAAAAAAAAAATCCGCGTGGTGATGGAACTGCATTGAGAGGCCGGGCGTGCGGCCTCACCGGTAACCACCGCCGGGAACGCACTCCCTCACCAGAGAAGGATTGGCCACCCTGGTGCAGTATCTGGCCACTACCTCCCACATGCATATGTCAAATAACGCACGGCCCTCAGTCCCCAGCAGCTGCGAAGCAACTGACCATGGCGGCGGTCAGATCTGCAATGCAGCAGAGGGTGCTAAGAATCTCTGGATCCGGACAGGCCGCCATTGGAACCTGAACTTGGCAACGTTTAACGCTAGAACCTTATCTACTGAGGGAAGTCTAGCTGTACTATTCGAGTAGCTAGAGGGTGTTAAATGGGATATAATAGGGCTCAGTGAGGTTAGGAGGACAGATGAGGCCTATACGGTGCTACAGAATGAGTACGTCCTTTGCTATCAAGACCAAGAGGAGGCAAACAGAAGAGAACTGGGAGTGGGGTTCCTAATTCACAGAAACATAGCTGGCAACA